AGCAGGGAGGGACGGGCCGAGGCCAGTGCTGGTGGCCTCACCCTCCAATGGCGTCCTGATCACACTTCCCGCTGCGCCGCTGCCATCATCTCCAAGGTGTAAGGGGTGGGGCAGTCGAAGCCAACTCTGGTGGCCTTACCCCTCCACTCCATCGTCACCACCTGCAGGGAGCAGGGCAGGGGGGTCAAGACCTGCACTGCTGGCCTCGTTTCCCTGCTCAATCCCCTGTGTCCCCACCATCATGGCAGCATGTTGCCACCTGTCCGAATGCTTCTTCACACTTTGATTGGCTGTTTGTCAGCCAATTGGAGCATGAATAAAGTGTTATGGACAGACAGATTAAGGCTCTTATAATATTAAGACTCTTTTTATGTGCAAATTCACAGATGTTGTCAATATTGTATAGAGCATAAGGAGGGGAGGAGAGAAACAAATAATTATTGATTCATGTGCTTTTCCCAAGCAAAAAATTGCTTGTGAAGTGGCTCTGATTTGCTATGAATACATTTTCCCCCCCCCCCCCCCCCTAAAAAAATTTTTCCCCCTTTTTTTAAAAAAAACGGTTTTTTTTTTTTTAAAAAATTTTTCCCCCCCCCCCCCCCCCCAAGCTATAAAAATCTTAGCTCCCTTTTTTGAAAGAAACTGGCTTTTTTTCTTCAGACCACCTATAGCAGGAAAGTTTATGCAAAACAATCGTGTGCCTGAGAGAGATGTCTCTTGTACCTGTCAATATTTTAAAAGAAGATATTCACTTCCTTCACTTGTACTTTAGTATTTTGAAGCTTAGGTCGATTTACTATTAAGATGCTGTTTGGCTATGTAATGTAGCTCTTCAGTTATAACTTAAAAAATCTCTTCCCTCTGATCCACAGTAGACCAGGTCTTTCAGCATTCTGTAGAATCCAGCCCACTGGGTCATTGATGTGTCCCTTCGTTATATACACTGTAACTGTCTCCTGCTCTCATTTCTTAAATCCTTTAAAAATGCGTTTGGTTGCTACTGACATTTGGGTACAATGATTTTGCTTGGTCTTTCTAGTTACCTGTAATGGAACTTATCTGGATGTAACTTATTTTTCATGCTCAGGAAAGCCAAGGAAAGCATCCTCCTCATTCTGATGCAACCTCCCTTGTAGCTGCAGAAAAGAGTCCAGCATCTGAAAGGTTGCCAAAGCCTTCCACTTTGGAATCTTCAGGTGAGAACAGTCTTCCTAGAATTACTGTGCCTAATATTGATGTAAAGGTTAGCCTTCCTATTTACAAAAGTGTGACTCTTTGGTGGTGGTTGGAACAGTCCATTGTAGGTACAAGTATACCACATCCCCATGTGGCTGCCAACATGTCTTCATATTGATAGGTAGCAGCAAAACTAGGTTTGGTAGAATTCAGTTCTTATTGTTTAATTATTTCAACGGCTAAAATTTGATGTTTATTTTCAAGCACTTATTAAAATTTTTATCAATTTCAAAATTTTCAGGATTGTGCAGAATTAGGGTTGTTTAAAAGCTTTATAAAATCATGTGGTAAAATATAAAAAATAAATATCCATAAATTGATAAAGCATACCTGATCATGCAGGGGCTGAGCTCACTACGAGTTTGACCCCTGCCCCGATTTCTGGCTGGGACCCTGTGCAGGGTGAGTGGCTGGCAGCCCTGGGCTCCTGGCTGCCAACAGCCCTACCAGCATGGCCCTTGACTCCTACAGTGGCTGCCCAAGCCACTGCCAGAGGAGCAGTGTATGAGCAGCACAGATGGGGCTCATCCTACCCCACCCACAGCAGGTGCCACATGTCTATGCGGTTGTGGTTGTCTGTTGCTGTTGGGAAAGAAGAGCCATGACAGGGTTCTCCAAGTCTGCCAGGCGCTAGAAAGCCTATCAGATATTCTGCCATTACAGAATAGTGAAAAAGAGAATCTAGCTGTGTATACATGTTCAGATGATCTGGGAGAATTCTCCTAGTTTTGTTTTCCTGGTAAAAAACACAAACAAAAACTTACATGGTGAACCCTGAACAAATGTTCAGAAGCCTAGCCTTTAAGGAGTGACATCTTGCAGTGCTGATGCTGTGCAGTCAGGGGGCTCCTTTAAACACATCTTGATGGCATCAGGCAGACTGCAGAGCACAAAAGTGCACAGAGGAACCCTGACTGGCTGACCTAGACTGTTCAGGATTTATATAAGCAACACAGTGCTTTGGCAGGCAGTGCATTCCTGGAGCACAATGTGGGCATTTGTGAAGGGCCTCCACTTTTCTCCAGCCCCAAAGCACTCAGATGGGGTGTTCTCCCTGATCAGCTGCAGCAGTAGAGTCCAGCCCGAGTTGGCACACTCCCTGGAGCAATAAGAAGCAGGGAGCAAAGCATCCTAAGATGATGACCTGTGTTGTGGCTTTTTTCCAGAAGTGGGTATATACAGACATTACTGGGAGAGATTTAACTCTTGGAGAATTATTCCTGAGCTATTTTTCTCCCAGATAAGTCTTATTTTTTCTTCTGGGAGAAACTTGAGCATCTGTACACATGGTTCCTACTGAGAGAGCAGCAACTCTCCTAGGAGAAACTGAATGTTTATACATGGCCCCAGACTTCACCTAGCCAAGACCACCTTTCCACCCTCATTTGTGGAGATACTGAGGTATTCGCTCCCTAACATGGTCATCAAATTGATCTGCTGCCTCAGCTTTCTCATCTGTAATGGGTGTTTTCTCAGTCTTGAGAGCAGAACAGGAGTCTGAGCATTGTTGCTGATCCAGGCTGCTCTCTGCTCAAGTGGAAGGAGTCTAGGCCTAGTGTAACACAAGGTATAGAATACCTGACTATAAAATTAAAGTTTAGACTAGTATTACTGCTATAAATTCTTTTTTTTGCCTAGATTTAGACTCTTTTGCTTAACTATGGGGAAACTTAAGAATGAAAAATGCAGTCATGTACCTACAGTAACTTACTTCTCTTTGTATCTTAGGCCCTTCTAAATGTGAAGAGACTGATAAAACCAGTCATTCGAAGACAGTTTTGCCAGAGAGTCCCTTAAAGGTTGTGGAGAAAGAGAAAGGTTTGTACTGGTCTTTTGTACCTTGTAACTATAGTTGGCCAGTCCCAAGTCAACTTGACTGACATTGTGTAGAAAAGAATGAATTCCTTGCACATAAGCATTTATGCATTAAGTAGCTCAGTCCTACAATTCTAAACCAATGAAGTGTATGTTCTTTAAAATCAAAGTCTAGTAAATATTACCAAAACTCACTTTCCTTTTATAATGAAGTGTATTTTCAGTGATAATTCATGTTTCCAAAGTGTGTTAGGAAGATTATTGTGACCTGTATTCAGAGGAAAAATGAGTTCCTTTGATTTACTTTAATTCATTTTAAGAGATGAGTTCAGTTACTTGCTTTTGTTGGTATTGTATGTCAGTACTCAGTATGCTTCTTGATAATGGGTATGCAAAATATGTAAGCCAGTTTAGAGTGAAGTGAGAAAATTACTGTTTTCTAAGGGTCAATGCCTTAAACTTACTACAGGATTCTTAGGGTCTGTTTTGAAGCTGTGTTGGTCTGAGACAAAGAAGAATACAAAACTGTAAAACTTGGTTCAGAGGTGATACCTTTTATTAGACCAACTAGAAAATAGAAAAAAAAATACCTTTTCTTTGCAAACTTTCAGGCATGCCCTTCAGGCTGAGAAGAAATCAAAGATTGTACAGGATTCCATATAGTTCTATCCCACCAAACCAAAATCAGGAGTTTACTAGGACTGAGAGAGCAAGAACCATATTTACTTGAATAGATGATGGTGATTTAGACGACAGCCCCCTCCCCACCAATAATTAGGTTCTATATATGGAAAATATATAACAAATTGATATAACTTTCCAGGTATAGAATCTAATAATTGGAGGTTTGCCTTGAATTTGTCCCCTTCCCACTGCTTTAGCAGGGAAAATGAATCTGGAGGGTCAGGTAGCCCCTTTGCTCTCTGTTTCCCTCCAACATTTTTCCCCTGGCAGTCCCTTCTCTCTTGCCTTACTGTCAGACACTACTCTTCCTGAGCATAGGAAGTGAAAAGCAAATTTGAAAATAACCTTGACCTTTTAAACATGGTGTGGTGGAGCACCAGTGGGGTGCTCACCACTGAGTGTAGGCTGCAACAGGCTGGAGGAGTGCCTGTATGGAAGGCAGCCTAGAGACACCCAGAGGAGTCAATTTTTTAGTGGGGGGAGGTGTGTGGTGGAGCACCAGTGAGGTGCTCACTACTCTAGGGCTATCGCAGGCTCTAAGGGAGCCTGTTTTTGGGAACAGCTGCTAAACATTGTAAGGGGGAAGGTAGGTGGCAGAGCACCTTAAGTTGGAGCTTAGCACAACTGTTGGCGACATCTGCAAGGTATGGGACACCTGTAGGGGGGTGGTTGGAGCATGTATTTTGACCCTCAGATATCAGGGCCCTTGAAGAGCAGCTGCCTGCCTACATAACAACATGATGTACCAGAAAGGAGTGGCAGGGAAGATAGGCGGGCAGCATGCCTAGAGATGGGTGGGAGACCTGTAGCACTGTGGCTGGTCAGGGAGTTCCCACCTGTCACACATGGCTGTAACAATTTGCAAATAGTACCCAAACACTTAATTCATCCAGAATTGATGCGTACTACCTTTTTGAAACTACTGCAAAGTTTAGCACAGGTCCATAAATACACTTTTGAGCAGCACTTTAGCACCTACATATATGTAGTATAAGCTTTACTCTTCTGAAATTTTGTGTCTGGGCCAAATCGGTTCTGAATTCTGTTGACTGAGCAGAGCTCAACTGTTCAAGTTTGCATGGTGCTACCACTGGTGCAAGTATCCTACCTCTGAGACTCTTCAGATTGGGGCTTCTGATGCTCTCAAACGCATGGCAGGCCTCCTACGTGCAAGCTGCAAATCCAGAGCCCTTGGAGTTCAGATGCTCCCTAGTTTCACTTGCCTCTCACCAAAAGGCCCAAGGAGCAAGCCAGAGGGAAAGTCCAAGAACAATCCCCTATCACTGTAAACTGTGTAGCTGAGATCCTCACATACCACAAAGATAGGTTAGTGCCACCCATCTGAAGTATAAACTATACAAGATATTAGTACAAAGCTGAGAGGGGAGCTGAGTTGGGCTGAGAGAGGGGGTGACAAAGTTCTGGGTGAACTGTTTGGGGGCCCAATTGTCAATGTTTGCCACATGTTTAAGGCTGGTGAAGAAACAGGAATCATTAAAAATGAGAGAGAAAGTCACAGCTCAGCTGTGGGAATGAAGAGGAAGTCAAAATGTATGCAATATAGTGACTCACTATGACTGGAAAAAGAGTTGGCAGTGAGGGGACTGTTTCAATGGGCACTGCTATATGTCTTCTTTAGCAGGGCTTCCCATTAGCATCTTGGGGCTGGCTCTTGCCCTCCCAGTGCCAGCCTGGCATTGTAGTATCTCCAGGCCCAGTGGTGGCTTCCTGTGGAGGGAACACCTGCTTGTTTTGTTGTTTTTGTTAGTTTGCTTTTTCTTTGTCTTCAAAGGACCAGAAAAAACAAAGAGTTCTCATCAGCATTTTGGGTACAAGGGAAGAGTGGAGCTTGCTTCCCTCCACCATGCTATTGGGTGGTGGGGCTGTCTTGTATTTGAATAAATGTGGTAGATGATCCAGCATACCAAAGTCTTACTTAAATGTGACTGAAGACTCTTGTTTGCCTTCAGTACTAAACTAACACATTCTTTTGGGATCTTTTTGCTTTTCAGTCAAAGTACGTGAAATTGAAATGAGTGTAGATGGTGATGATGTGATGAATAGCTCAAAGGTAATAAATGAAATCTTTGATGAAATTCTTCAAGAGGATGGTCCAGACATAGAAAAATTAAAAAAAGAAATGAGTATGAACCTGGAAGCTGAGAGTGATGAGGAACAGGAAGAGTCGCTGAATATTTCCTCTATGTCTCTGCTAACTCCCTTAGCAGAATCTGTTGGTGTTGCGAGTCCAGAGGTGAGAGCAGATGTTCAAATACAGGGATTTGCAACACTGTCAGTCATGATGCATTGGGTGTTTTTTACGTGAGAATCTCTGAACAAATATAAAGCTGCTTATAGATTTCTTCTAATGAAACTTAGCATAATTAAGTGAAGAAGCAGTGGAGTTCTTTACATTGGTATGAAAATGTCTTCAATTTTAAGCTGCTAATCTAAACACTTAATAAAACAGCTTGAAATCACGATCAACAGCCATGTTCATGAGCAATAGTGTGTACCTTATTCAGTACAAGGAAGCGCATGCTTTCCCAGCCTTCCTTCTGTTCTTTCCTGCTTGCATTCCTTGCTCAAGACTATTTCCTTTCTTTCGATTCTCCCTCATACATGTTTATTTTATGATCTGCCTTTTTCTCTTGGCTTCTTCCTCGTTTTATCCTTATCTTTCTTCCTCTCTAGTACATCCTCCGTAGTGCTTCTCTAAAAGCTTGTTTCTGGGTCACTTCTCAAGTGTGAGAATAGTATTTGTTCCTGTGGCAATCTCCTCTATTTGGTGTTTTTTCTCCAGGATAACTGAACTTTTCTCTATAACTTAACACTAAAAGCAACTTGGGGAGACTGTCCTGAAGGAAAGAGAGGTTTCTGCTTAATTTACTATCCTTCAGTGCAGAGCTGGCAAAAGCGGGGAAAATACTAGTTGTTCAAGCCTTTTTCCCTTTTATTTTTCATATTTCATTAGTAGTGAAATTTGTGCTGTATATTGAAAGAAGTCACAGTGTCAGTTCTTCCCTGCAGCCACTGATTAGAAATAGCTACTTGTCTTCTGGTACTTGGCCTGTCTTCAGTCAGTGCGATGACAGAGCACCAAGAGCATGGTTTATGCTGCAGACTACAGCCATGCCATCATGGCTAGATTGCTTCTGTGACACCTGAGCTAGTTTGTTGAAGGCTAGCTCGGGTATTTATATGCTACCATAGACTTACTCAAGTCAGACTGGCTGCATTTTAGCAGTAAAAGCTTTCTTGACAGGGAGAGTTGGAAGTATTCACCCTGTTTCTTAACATCAACTTTGTAGGAACATAGCAGGATAAAGATGAAAAGGAAATTGGAGATCTTTGCAGTTAAGATTTTGTTGTAGGGATAAAGCCCATGTATCTACTTATGTCTGTAGGAAGCAGAACTAGGAACAGTGGCCTCACATGGCAGGAGAGGAAATTTAGGTTAGAGATTAGGAAGAACTTTCTGACTGTGTGGGGTCAGGCATTGGAACAGACTGCATAGATAAGTTGTGGAATCTCCATCCCTGGAAATTTTCAAGAGCATATTATACAGACACATGGCTAAGACGGTTTAGTTGGAGATGATCCTGCCTTTAGCAGGGAGCTGAACTAGACAAGATCCCTTGCAGCCCTTCTAGACTATGATAAATGAGAGGTTGCCTACCTCCAAGAGAATATGGAGGAGAGTAAACAAGGGTAGGAAGGAACAGAATAAATTTATATGAAACAAGTTATTTATAAAACACAATTTTTCCTTTTTCCCTCCCTCCTACCCCCCCAACAGGGTTTTGCCTCTCCTAGTCGGTCAGCTGGTGAGGGGAGCAGCACAAGCAATGGAAGCCCAAAGTCTGGCAAGTACCAAAGAACACAAGTTCCTAGAGCAGAATCAGGGGACAGCATTGGATCAGTATCGGAAGATCGCCACCTTCTATACAGGTAATTCCTTTATGAATACTTTGCTTGAGCTATATATGTGGAAAGTGTTTTACTGTTGTTAAGATAGCTCTTGTCATTGTTTTAAAGTGTTTCTTCTGAGGTGGAGATAAGGAAGCTTGATAAAGTTTTGTATTTTCCCTGGCATGTAACTAAATGGGCTAAGGAGTTTTGCAGTGATGGAATTCTGTCATTCTCAAAACTGACAAGGAGGGCTTTCCTCCAGAGTTTAACCTTAATAAAAGCCTCTCCTATTGACGAAGCCACCTTTGATTGCCACAGCTTTGCCTGGAACAAAATATTGCAATTTTTTTTCCATTTTTTAAATAAGTTGATACCAACCTTCTTTTTTTTTTAAATTGCCTAGGTCTGTGGCTCCCTCTACAAGTAGTGTGTATTTAACTGGTTATTTGTGGAGTTACCTGGAGACCAGCTACATGTGTGAAGTACCCTTCATACCATTAAGCTGTAACCAGCTATAAAGTTAGACCTTGAAAAATGTGTATCTGGTTGCTATCAAGCTTTAATTTTGCACATGTAGTAAGCTGTCACCTACCGCTGGGAGCCCCATCAGCTGACAGGGCTCCCAGCAGCAGGGGAACACCATGCTCAGCCAAGGCTGAGAGTCCCACAACCGAGGGGACTCGCAGCCCCAGCAGTTGCTGACTGGGTCCCAGAAGCATCCCACAGTTGTGGATGCTGGGTCCCTGCAGCCTGCCTTCTGGAGACCCAGTTGAATGCTGGCAGCTATGGGGCACAGCTGCAATCTCCCAGCCTTGGGGGTGCATGGAGCCCTGGGCAATCATGGCTGCTACATTATCCCAGCCCTGGGGGTTGCAAACTCCCAGCCTTGATCTCCCAGTCCTAGAGGTGCACTGAACATCACCGCAGCTGCAAGACCTTCAGCTGAGGAAGCTTCCAGCCACAGGAGCTTCTTGCTGGTGCAGAGGGAGCCTGGGATTGGACTCTTCCTGCACTGGCAATAAGGTGTGATGAGATCCAATGTGTGACCCCTCTGTCACACCTCCTGCCACGCACCTATGTCATGGCAGGAGGCATGACTGTGTGGCTCTCACATTAGAACCCATCCTGCCTTGTATGGATAGAGGCCCTAGGACAAATACCTTACTGCATCATTACAGAATGGTATGCTAGTCAGGCCCTGTAAACTAAGTGTATTTAACAGTGAGTTCTCTTCTTAAGCATTGATGCATATAGATCTCAAAGATTTAAAGAAACAGATCGCCCTTCAGTAAAGCAAGTGATTGTTCGCAAAGAAGATGTTACTTCTAAATTGGAGAAAAAGAATGGAACTTCTGATCAAGTTAATAATATTAAACAGAAAATGCAGGTATCTTTTTGTATTTTTTTTTTTTTAAGTCTTGCTGCTTTCCCTGTAGTTCTTTTTTAAATGTTCAGTGGATTATAAGTGTTTACTTAAATAGACAAGGCCCCCTAAAATTTTGCTTATATTTGGGACTCGGTCAGCAGAATCTAGCATAACACAGTGTGCAACTTGGTAGGTCAATTTAATGCCTGAGTCACTCTTTGTTTTGCTGTCCACAAAATGCACAGCTTTTTTTAAAAGCTCTGGTTTGTGCTGCCATTTCGTGCTTACAGCTTTTGAGCAAGTTCTGTTATGATTTTTCTTCTTTTTGCTGTAAGTATTTAGGTCTCCTTCCACCCTGCGTAATCTAACATTTTTCATAAGCCTTACTGAAGAGTACTACTCTTTCAGTTCTGGCTTGAATGTTGGATGTTGACAATTAACCTTTTTATGGACTGGTCTTTTATCACAGTAGGAAAAGAGGAATGATATTGTTGAGGTGTAAAAGTGAAAAGTGTCCTGCAACACATGTAGTTCAGTATCTGTTTAAGCATTTGTTCCAGTGTATGGGAGCGTAATTAAAGTGCTGTTCCAAAGGCCCTTCTTGCACATCCTGGATCAAGTAACAAAATTATCTTGTGGCTTCACTAATTATTTTCACTGTTGGATTATACTAGGAGTTAAATAATGAGATCAACTTGCAACAGACTGTGATTTATCAGGCCAGCCAGGCTCTGAACTGCTGTTTTGATGAGGAACATGGAAAAGGGTCGCAAGAAGAAGCTGAAGCAGAAAGACTTCTTCTGCTTGCAAGTAAGTTTTTTGAAGGATTGTGAATAATCAAGGCTGATTGCTTGGTTTACAAAAATGTTTGTAATGTTAGCTTGTCTCCTCAAGAAACTTTGAGAGAGCGAAAGACCACTTTGTTATTCTCTGGCTTTTAGTTATAACCTGTGAGAGAACAGAGTTGAGTTGAATAAGGGGCACCCTTTATTCCCTCTATAGTCGCTTGCCTCATTTCTTGCATTTTGGCATTCTCAGCAAATTCTTCATAACAAGGCACTCACTGGAAAATGGCAAAATGCTTCTAGGCTGGACTTTTAGTCCCTTAATCACAAAACAGTTGCAAGTAAAGGAGACTGATTCTATACCACTTCCTAATTTCTCCTTGCAGCTGAAAAGAGAACTTCTTTGCTTGAAGAGCTAAGCAAACTGAAGACCGAGGGACCTCAAAGCAAAAAAAATAAAGCTGCCTCTGCATCCCTGGTATTTGCTCCATCCAAAGGAACTGTCACCATTTCAGAAATGCGTCTACCTCTAAAAGCAGACTTTGTTTGTAGCACCATGCAGAAACCAGGTAGGCTGCCTTCCTATATGGGAGGTGGGGTGCGGGGAATGACTTTTTTTTTTTTTTTT